TTTTTTTACATTTATACTAATAAATAAACAGATATGTGCCATTTTGGTCGAAMACATTTTGCCATTTTCCGCCAGAGATATTATTCTATCAGTGTAAATGGCAATTTCGAAAATTTTCGAACGGAAGCGAGCGAACCATTGTGTTACACGAAATGATACAGCATCGTCTCCGTAAATTTAAAAAATTTCGTTAACGGCTTGCGTGGCAATCTTCCCTTTTTTATATAAAAATTTCAAAATATAGCGAGTTTCTCATTATTTTCACTTATTTTTGAAGTTGTAACTTTTTTTCAACTTCCCAGAATTTAATTTTTTTTGATCGAATGAAACTTAAAATTTCACTTAGCATATGGCATGACACAATATGATTGGTAGCACTGGAGATATACTATATGACTGCAATGGCATAGGAAAAAAATGAAAAGTCTTTTTCGACTACCCAATATAATGTTATTTCTACGCACATTGGTTTCCCATACGATTTTCATTGTTTCATATTCAAGATAAATATATACACATATGTATCGGATGGTAAACCGTTCTTTGTGCAATATAATATTATACATATATATATACGCAGAAACAACAAACACTGCTGATTCGTTATCAGTGAGTGCTTCGACATAATCGAATGAAACCAAAAATAATGTATACAGCAGTATTAACTGTCAGCCATGACAATATACCAACATTGTATATAAATAAAAGTGAAGCAAATATATATAAAAAAACAAACTGCAAATATGTGTGAACATTTACATAACTCAATCAAAACAGTTTCTGCTGATACACATACGGTTACATGTACATTCACACAATAAAGTGCTCTATTTCGGCACAAAGGTATCCTCTGCCAACAGTGTGCAACAAAAGTGTGCGCACAACGCCATACAAGCGTTCGCAGCTGCCATTAATAGCGTGGCATGAGCAGCGGCCTTTCTGACGTGACACTTGTGGTGCTTGTTTGTTTACATAGTGTCATACGTGGCGTATACGTAACCGGGGCTGGCAGACACAAAACCTCGAGCGAGTGTACGGCTGAGCACCTCACCTCCACAGCCAGCGATATTTATGCGAATAAATACTCATATGCGCCATTAACGTAAGTAACTGCGAGTGTGTGTGTGTACTGAGAGCGTGTGAAATTGGCACTATTGACTTATTTACCCTCRGCATTGTTGTTATTGTTGTTGTTGTCTTGCKTTGTTTGCATTCCTTGATTCATTCTTACATTYTCATGGATATTATTTCCCCTTATTTTTATTTATTTAATATATATGGTTTGTTTATTTGCAGTCCCTCAGCTTCTTCTTTCATTTTTTTTTTTTTTTTGTGGAGGCTTTGCTATCGGAATTTATTGTTTTATTTGYTTTCTTTTTGCGATGAACCTTTTCACCACTTCGGCTTTTCGCCAGCTTCGCCTTGGCGCTGCCTTCGCTTTGTTGACACTGTGGTATTTTTGTTTTATTGTGGGCTTTYATTTTTTTATTTTTGGCCTTTCACTGGCCTGTCGAACATGAAATATCTCTTTTAGATTTGCTCTGTTTTGGCGCGTGAGGCCTCACACGGCTTTATGCTAATGCCGACACACACACACACACACACACACACACACACACGAACAGCAGCGTTGCTGAATGGAGTAAACCGAGCGTGCTGGTGCTTTGTGGCTGACGTTGAGTTTCTTTATTGATTTATTTCCTCATTGTGCTCGTTGTGCTGCGCCATTTGAATAAAAGCAATAGTGTGCTAAGTAAGGATCAGCGTCGAGGCAGAGGAAATGTAGTTAATTTGCCAAAATTGCAAACCCGAAATTAACGAACTTGAAAATAATGCCAAAGTGGAAGCAAAAGCGCTGACCTTGTTGTCTTATTTGGACGTGACGATTGGATTACTGCATTTTTCAAAGGATTACACGCCCGTAAAGGATTTACGACAGCATTTAAGTAATGACTCGTTAAAGTTTTACCGAAATTTGCTAAAATAAAGAAGAGTTACCATCTTGTCACATCATCATTTTATAACATGGGCGCTGGTGATGACGTTGCCATTTTACTTGTAAGCCAATGCCAACGAAGTTTTACATTGTTTTAGTGACGCTGTCTTAAATATACTTTAAGCAGAAATATAGGTTTATATATAGTGCTAGTTATAGTAAGTGTTCAGTTTCTTCATTTAATTATTTTGGCACCTGTACTATGTTCTCAATAATTTCTGAGAAATGTAAGGAAAAAAGTTTGACCTTGCGACTTGTTCGACACACTTTTCTTTCCACTTTTTAAGAATTTATGTTGTCTTATACCGGCCGTCTGTAACGCCATACATAGATCTACTGGTTATCAGTAATATCAGATGGAGGTGCAGTTTAATTTGAGTTCAAGTATTCGTCACACAGGTCATTAACGCTTTTTGCGAACTTTAAGAGGGACTTGATATCTAATTTTCAAACTTAATTTAGTCCCCTGAACTGCGAAGCTTTCATATGTCTAAACCAAGTTCTATATAAGGTTGGACAGAAGCATAAGAGGTGTTCCAGCGAGTCTCTTATGTCTATTTTCCCATGCTTTCTGCATCTATCGTCGTTACTTATGCCCCTTCGGCGCGCTTGTGCTGTCAGTATTGTGACCTGTCATCAAAACAACAACCTAGTAAGTAAAAATCATGTCTGTGTTCCTTCGGAGCTTTTACATATGATCTTGGCAATCTTTATGCCCTCTAGGCATTCCATCTCGCTCTCATTTGTCTCTCASTTTTTTCGGAAGTTTCACTGAGAATCGTTTTTAGTGACTACCGCATTTCCTGGTCTGGTCGGTAGCCAAACCAATGGCACTTGTAGCAATCTCATCAGCTTTTTCTTTTCCTGAAATTGATTTGTGGCCTGTAATTCAGTCAAATGCAGCCGCTTTCTGCCAACCACTGGAATTACTGCCTTCCTTCTTCTAAGAACATTCTTTGATATAATCGATGCGAGATTATTGGCTTAATTGCCTCCTGACTATCGACGTATATATTTATCTGCTCCACGTTATTTCCTGTGTTATCAGCCGTAACAGCCGCTTTTCTGATCGCAGATACTTCCGCCTGAAAGTTAATGAAGTGCTCGGAATGATTGAAGGGTTGGGTGCTTCTACACAATCCACCCCTTTTTTGTATATCTTTAAACCTTCCCTCATAAATAAAGCGCAAAGAAATGTGTTCTATTTTATCCGCAAACTCTTAGCTTATTGATCTATGTCCGAAGGTCCTTGAGGTGAATTCATCTACTGCCAGCAACCGTTCAGATGATTTTGGTGCAGAGCATTTCACTGCAATGTCGATTGGTGGTAGGTTAAGTAAATTTTATAGTTTTTTAGTATTTTGAAGGTTCCTGGCGCTCCCTTTAAGTATTTTTTTTATTGGATGAGATTTTTGTGACAGCGGTTCACCACCAAAGCACCTTGCAKCACAAGTAGCTTGACTACGGCAATGTAATACCAATACATGAAACCAGTTGATAGGCCCTATGTGGAACCTGGTATTTTTTCATATGCATAGTTTAACTGTCTCCTCCAAATTTAGTTTCCAATTATTCCTAAAATGGTTTAAGATTACAACACGTTCTTAAATCATGGAGTGCTGAAGTATCAAACTCAATTATCTGGTTTCACAACAAATTTGCTATTAATATCAGAAAACATTTTCGAATACTGTGCTTCAACTTTGTTCATAAAGTATAACTAAAACAAATCTGAATTAAAAGCTATTTATGTGTATTTTGCTCTTTCTATATTTTCATGTTTCTTTCTGTCTCAACAAAATGGTCAATATGTTCCAAACTTTTGGGAAAACCAACAAAAAAAAAAACTCACAAACAAAACTATATACCAAACTGCAAAACCCATGAAATTCGAAACTGCAAACACAAACCACGCTGGGAAAACTGGCATACACAAACCACTAAAATGGAAATAAACAAAATACGAACAACTTTTATAAAACAACTGCAACAACTTTAGAGGGACTTCGGGCATCGACATCGACTTGAGGCGTGTGGATATCGATCAATGTCCGCAGCGCAACTCGCCGGGCACCACACAACCCCTCAACATATTCGCCGGCACCGACAAGTGCAAACAGCGCACAACAATGGTATGTACAATAAAATACAAATACAATTAAATATTACTTTCCTTGCCGAAAAGCTGTAAATAAATAGAAACAAGAGTAAGCGAAGTTTCGGTTAAAATCATCTAATGCTGGATTTTGATTTTAATTTACAAATTTCGCACAAAAGCACGACCTTCCCACATTATCTCCTTTTTTTTTTTTTGTTTCTTTTCAAAGCTGTGTTACTCATTCCATTTATTTATCGTGACATATGACCTTCTTTGTTTTCGTACTTTTTAGTGTGAGGCTTTAAAAGGACTGGGCTTTCGCCGTGGTTCCTACAAATGTGTCTGTCGCAAGGGCTATTACTTTCCAGACACCATGTCCTCACAAAAGTTCTTCAACGGCAGTCTGCTAGAGGAGGAGTACGAGAAGCTAATGCTGGTAAGTGCAGTCCTTRTGGAGTTTTCATGCAAGTAACTTGATCAGCGAAAATCGCCAAAACACTTATCAGTTTTCTTAATGCGTTCAGCCCCAAAAAARTTAATTCATCTAATCGAAGACGGATGTTTGTGCAAATCATTCAGAAGATTTCAAATAAGTGAAAAATGGAAAATTTGTAGATAATCTCAAAATCTCCGTTGTAGTGCGATAAATATTGGGTAGTCGAAAAAGTCTTTTCGCATTTTTAATCAAACTTCAATTTATTTTTTTATATGTATTTATAATGAATTTTATTGAACCAAACATGTACTGTTTTGGTAGACAACTTTTTGCCATTTTGCCACTAGAGACATTAYTCCAACAGTGTAMAACTTTTCTGGTTTCTCGGCGAAAAMATGCGACAAATAATTTTCAGAGAGAGATGCCATGTTTACGAAAGAAATGAGTATATAAAATTAATATTGCACAAATTCATACAAATACTTAAAATTAATTGAATTTTTATGAGAGTTTGCCACATACTTTGCAGGGCAGAAACTCCACCTACAACATCATCAACGAATACGAGTGCCTGCCGTGCGCGGAGGGCTGCGATTACTGCGAGGACGGCTCGCCTTGCATTGCAGCGCTTAATTGGCCGATGCGTACGAGTATTTTGGTGCTGGCTTGCACCGTCATCGGTTTACTACCGCCGGCCGCGTGGTTCACATTCCGCTATCAACAAGTGAAGGTAAGTACCTCGCACATCACACTTTGCATGCTAAGTGCACAACAATAATAGCAAAAGCATTATTTGCGCATAAAAAATTTTTAAGTCTTTGCGCCGCCATCATAAATGTTTAAGGATACACATATTGTCCGGCCACACACAGCATGACAGCCGACCCAGTCGCCAACTTGGCTGCGTGCCACCAACCACAAAGCACGGCAAGTTAATATTGAACACATTAACCTTGACCACCCGGGCTTTGGTTGGCGCGGCCGGTGGAMGACTGACCAGCAAAATGCGAGTGTGTGGCGCGGCAGTTGTGAGTTCATAATGAAATTTAACAATTTTTATTACCTTGCCTTGGGTGCTGTTGACATGTGGCAACTTTGGCGTCTGTGGCGTCTGCGGCGTCTGTGGCGGAAAACGTAGCGTCATTTGCGGGCGAGAGCTGTGTACCCGCTATAACTTCGAGTTCATATTCACTTCTGCTCTTTGATGACTAGTCTGGTTTTACGACTGGAATTAGGGGTCATATCTGCTTGCGGCACACGCGGTCTTGCATTCCCCAKTCCACTCGCTTTGCTCTTTATTACGTTCTTAAGTGCACACTCAGMCTCAAAAAGGAAACATGTTGCTGCCGCCAAAAAACCAAGACCAGCTGTTACTTTATGTGTTTCTATCCACCGGCGCTGGCGCCGCTAAGGCGTTGCGGCTTGTTGTCATCTAAATACGTCGCTGCAGCAGCGCTCCCGTATTGAATTTTTATATGAGACCAGCGTCACGTTCGCTTGTACTCACAGGAGGACGGTCCATACTTTGTATTCGCGCATGTTCGATGAGTCGGTGTTGGAGCGTATGGATGCGCCAGACACGATCGTAAACCAAATAACACAAAATTTTATAGATTTCCGGCTGTTGCTGTGCAGAGGTTGTTAAAAAGTATCGTTAGTGAGGTGTCACATTTGCGCTAAGCACCAACACACATAAATACACGCCATGTAGTTGCTGGCGTGGGGCGAGCTGTGCAAACCAATGTGCTTTCACAAATATGATTTATTTATTTTTATTGAATTTTAACGTACACCAAWAGCCACACCACATACCGACTTTCGTGTTCTCCTTCTTATTTGCAGGTTGTTCGTGCCGCCAGTCCSGCTCTGCTGCGCGTCATTGCCCTAGGCGCTTTCTTCATCTATTGCACAGTAAGTAAATACTACACAATTCTTACAAACAATTTCTTTGTACTTTTGCAAATCCAACTTRTATAACCATATAGATGTAGATTCCGAAAAGGTTGGGGTAAATCTCTTGTTTTCGGTATGGGGAAAATGAGTATTGAGGGAATTTATTATTTAAATCTGACCTTAGATTATGGACACTATCTCATTGCACTTAAATGGGAAGTCTCATTGCTTCTGTTCATCCAGAAATTCAGAAGCGAGCGTGTAAGAGAGGAAAGTAGTAGATGTAGGTTTCTAAGCTGTACACTGTTTATCCGTATATATGTATATTATATAAATATAATCTACTATAAAGCTATCTTAAACAAGCATTAACAACTGCGATGGCGAAAATATTGGCCAAAAACTTCACCCTCCTCTTATGTACTGAGAACTATCTAAATAATGGAGATAGAAATGTAAAACTATGTGGTTAGAATAAAACATTTCTCATCTTAAAAGAAGGAAAAGGTCGTTGAAGCCAAATCAGATGAAAATATGCAGCTTTTAGTAAAACATTTCTTTTGTGATTCTCAATTCTTTAGGGCAAAGCTTTGTTATTATTGCATTATTGTAGATCGAGGAAAATTTCAAACAAGAGCAAAGGGACGGACCATGTAACGAGCAAACATTTCAACTCAATTGTTATGGCATACCAACTTATTAACAATACAATTCGCATCTTAGGAGGAGAGTTGCTGATTTGAAGAATTTGTGAACAGCTAAAATGACAATGGTTCTCTTAGGTTAGACTAAGACTGTCATTGAACTTGTCGTAGTGAAAACCGCACATTATAAAGGGAAAAGGGTTCTTGAAAAATACCAATTAAGTGCTCACAAACACATAAAAATTTAGACAGGCCTAGATCCCCGTGCAGCAATTTTAAACCGACAGAAATTTTGTCAGCAATAATGACGGTCAGTCACGGCTTTCTAATCATATAAAAAAGACACCATTATATTGTCAATGGAATATGTCATAATCATTTATTAGCAAGGTCAAATCAGCAAATGCAAAAATAATTAAAAACARTGCTTCGGATAAAAGTACTATCTAGCATGTAAGGAAGGGCTAAGTTTGAATGCAACCGAACATTTTATAGTCTTGCAACTTGCAAGAATCAAAGCAAGGGAAATAATTTAAGGYGTAAAACCAWTTACWTAGTTTAAAATCTGCCGGATGTTTGAAAATCCCGATATTAGTTGTATAGGGCTAGGTCAAGTTTTCGCTCAAATTTATCTATTTTCAGCACACAAATACGCTGTTATGGGTAAGCTCTCGTATCTTTATTGGGATAACTCACATATTGACCGATATATGTAGTACAAAGTCACTCCGAAAGTTCGAAAATCTATATATTAATATATGGGGCTAAGGGAGTATTGGTCCGATTCAATCCATTTTGACATATAGACATAAGAGAAAGATTACTCCTTAATTTCAGTTATACTATTAAATAATAATGCATTGACCGATATTTTCAATCAAAAGCAAATATAGCTACGGAGGTCTAAATATTCATTACCTAGAGGCTTCAGCAGTTTTTGTTGGATTTAAACAAGTTTTGGTCTTACGGTGGCACACACTAAAGGCATAGTTCGGGCAAAGTTTTATCCCGTTATATCAATTGCTTCTTGATTTGTGTACTTTAAAGTAAAATATTCAAGTGGAATTAAAAATTGTACTATGTGGGAAGTAGTCGTGGCGGCCCCTAAAAATCCTTGTCATACTAACCCGTCTGCAAATTTTTACCTTTCTGGCGCATTTAGTTATTGATTTATCGCGCTTTTAGTAGTTTTGAACAGTACTGTTATATGAAGAGTGAACGGGGTGTCCATCCGATCACATCCAGTTTGACACTATCGATAGGAGTTCTTGTAATATTCGTAATGGATGAATTTCGTTGTTGTAGCTTTAGTAGATTAGGAGATATATGCTATACATTAAACTTATTAGAGGACCACGCCCACTTTTACAACATTTTTTGCCCACAGGAGACCATTGCCACTAATATGTATATACTACCATTTCACTCCTTCAAAGTAATCCCCTCCCGCTGCAATACACTCATGACACTTGGAAAAATGCTCCGTCGTGATGGCCATCAGAGCCTTCTTCGATTCAGTTTTTATATCCACAATTGAGTCATGTCAATTTGCTAAATAGCCAGAAGTTACACGAAGGTAAATGAGGCGAATGCAGTGGTTGCGGCACGATATTAATTGAAAATGTGGCGATATGATCACGAGTAACCAATGCAGTATGAAATGTGTACTCGTATTATCACACTTCTTTGCTCAATAAATTTAGACATAGTAAAAGTCGAAGAATTCATTTTTAGAGCCTCACAAAACGACTCGTATCTCAAATAATTTGAATATTTGAATATTTTGAATTTAGCATAGAGTGACATCTATCATCATCACACTACTACCAACTTGCAGAAAAAATTACCGATTCGAAAAACACCCGAAGTATTAATAAAAATTCACCTTTCAATTTGATCACAGTAGTATTTCAGGTGAACCAAGTAATTCGTGTTCATACTGGAGTTTTTTTTTTTATTTTTATAACCTGAACAGGATATATTAAATTTGCCATAAAGCTGTTGACTTCCAGAAAGAAACACCTGAGACCACACAAAATATAAACATAAATGGACAGCGTAAGGAGCTGACTCGATTTAGTCCATATAMATTAGCTTAAGTTTTTGAGTTATCTATCTGAAATTTTGCACATTCAAAGCAGCTTCTCATTTATCGGAACCGCTTAAATCGGACTGATGTAGTGCATAGCTGCCAAGTAATTAATTTTATTACAGCAAATATATTCTTACGAATTTTATACAGATAGACTTGGRCTGATAAGTCCAAGCAATGGCACAATCCCTAAATAAATTATGCAGATTAGTGCTTCGATCTATCAATTGGTTTCTGCATAAAATGTAGTGAACCTTTTTTATTTGTTAAGACACTCTTTTTGTATTCTTTAATATCGATGCAACCTACCCAGTCTAAGTTCCAACACAAATCACCTAGTAGTTTTATTGGCAGATTAATCGGCAGAATTGCAACGAGTGAATTGGAAATGCATTCATAAAGTTCTACAAATGCAAGTACAACTATTTTCATTCTATTTACAGAATATTGTGATGTACCCCAATCCGAATCTGTACACGTGCACGGCGCGAATATGGCTGCGCGAAATCGGATTCTCACTGACATATGGCGCTTTGATGCTGAAAACGTGGCGGTGAGTTAAATATCTGGTTGCAAAATGGAACTTAAATTCTCAGCTCTTTAAACACMTGCAACGCAYACACACACACACACACATATGCACATTTAGTATACATGCTTAACTAACACTTTCGTCTCTCTGTACCTGTCTCTTCCCCTCAAAATACAGCATTTCGGTGATATTTCGTGTTCGTTCAGCAAAAGCGGTGAAAATCACAGACGCAGCACTATTGAAGCGGCTCGGCATTATTTGCGGTGTCATTGGAACGTGCCTGTTGGTGCGTACTTTGGTGGCACCGCCCGATGTTGTGGTTGGCCGCACTGCTGATGATCTGAAAGCATTTTTATGCAAAACGGATTACTGGGATTACACTTTCACATCGAGTAAGTACTCGTGCGCAATACAAAGAAGCTGAAGCCGTCCGAAAAGTAATGCTAAAAATACACACTCATCAAGACACACATATTCATAATGTTTGTATTGGAAGACATATTTTTTTTTCTTTTTTTTTTTTTTTTGTCTATGTTATCGATTAGATCATGGACTTACAAGCGAGCTCACGCTAAAAACAAGTTTGTGACGAACACTTAGGCATCGCCGTCTTAAGTGGCTTAACAGCGTTTGCATTCCTCGACGCCGTAATAGTTTTGCTTTAAAGAAAGGGATAAAAATGTCATACACGTGCGCTTACACACACACACACTCTCACATTTACAGAGACGCATACTCGTGCTACGAGTACATAGGAGATTTACAAGCTTGTACGCCAAGCATGCCAAGGTCCATGGCTAACGACATGATGTGTAAACTTAAAATATTGCTCGAACATGCAGTCACACTTTCGGCGCCGCAAAACACGAAATTGTTGAAGGCGCTCGTGGTGTGAAGAGACGCCCACACATCTTACTTGGGACGGCAGCCGGTTTGATGGCACGCTGCTGGTCACCACTCTCGTCGGTGGATAATAAGTGCCCGCAACATCTATCGCATATACCGAGCAGCGAGGCTTGCTCTTACGTCTAGCTACTTGCATATTTGTGGAACACGATGTCCCTTAATGCCAACGACGTTGAATAGTTGAAGGCGGAAAATTACGGAATTTAAGCTGCACTCATTTAT